TTAATCATGATTAATCCGATTAATTGTTTCAGCCCTCAATCAAACAGATGTTGGCCACGGAAAACATTGACTGACTAATCTGCATCATCCACCAGGCTGACACATTTCAAACAGCTGTAAAGTTTAGATGAATCAGCCCAAAACCTTCACTTGTTTACATGTTTCCTGTAAAAACATAAGTTGTTGACGGTTACCCACCTTAAAAAAAGCCCATTGGCTCTGATTGGTCTGCTTTAGTTAGATCATTTCAGGTCAGCTTGGCTCTGTTAGCATCCAAACATGAAATGTTGACTTTTAAGTCCCTTTCTTACTGAGTGGAGTTTTATATTTCAGGATACATTTGAGTGATTCTCCAACTATCAAAGAATTTGTTTCCCAGACAGATATAAAAAAAAAAAAACAATACATGTTTGTCATTTTTTTTATTCACAACGCTCTTGCTAGACATAAAGATAAACTGATAAAGCATTCATAATAGATAAATTACTATTTATATTGTATAAGCTACAATTTTTATAGTCATGTTTTTGCCATTATGTCCTTTGTCCCTTGGTCAGGTGTGTTACTTTCCTTCCCTCATAAGAGTGATACTAAATTTGATTTCAGCAATTTTATTGACAAGTGACACAGAAATTCCTTATTATTATGAATTTAAACTTATCATTTACTTTGAAGGATACACTGGTATTTTATTTTTTTTATAATTATATTACCTGTCCTAAGGGATCACTGTCATTTCCACCACAAAATGCACCTTATAACTATTTTTTAATATTTGTCTACTTGTAATGACATCAGTTGTCATGTGAGAGGAGAGCTATTGGCAGGATAACAAAGTGGGCTTCATGAAAACTTGTTTTGCAAAGCCAAGAGTAGGTTTATTGATCATCATCTCAAAACAGCTAATTTAATTTTAATGTACAAATAATAATGTAAAAAAACAATATTATAGTGTGTATTTTTGAGTATAATCTCTAAAACAGATTAGCATGTTCTATGTACAAAACAAAAAAGGAATGCGAAACATTGTAATATCTAGCTCTATATAAAATGTAATATTATATATGATATAATATGATATACTATCATTTAATGTTTCTACACATTGTGATGAAATAGAACCAATCTAAATATTTCTGAAAAAATGAATTGGATCTGAAAAACATGACCAAATTTAGAGGTATGGAGAATGTTCTTTTTCCGGGTGGATCATCTAGATTAGTGGTCCTCCTAACTGTCAATCATTCTGGTGATATGTTTACAGAAGACCCTCCTACGTGCTCATTCCTATTTTCACTTACCGGTGATGAGTCTGACATAGTGGAAAAATTGCAAATCATTTTTTGGAAAGTAGTTGAAATAGGCTTGTGCATGCTCTCGCACGCGTTCAATAGGTGTTTCCTCTGGGGAGCGGGTACAGGGTTGTGCATGTGCATTTCTTTTTTTTTTTTTAAGGAGAGGGCAGGTCTATTTCAAAATTTTTTGAAAATCCTCCATTATACCTTTAACTGTAGATTGAGAATCACCCATTTATTGGATATTAGCACTATATGAATGAATTTAACTGGATTAATTTGATGGTTGGTTAATTAACCTTAAACATACTTCTGAAGCAAAACAGGGCTTTGAGTGTACAGTGCAGATAAGAGTTATCAGTTTTATCTGCGAAAAGCGAAAATACCAAACTGACTTTTTTTTTTTCCTTAAAAAGATTTTCTTTATTTTATTCACGTGAGTTCATCAGAACACATCTACACTGGGGTATAAACAGAATATTAGCAGAAACTGGATTCCCTGTTTCACCGTGTCACAGCATCAACACATCCGATATATTGGCTTAATCTGTGGAACTATGACATGTATTCTTTGCTCAGAAGGAGACCAGATGCTGCAGGTATTCAGTTGCCAGGCTACAGTAGAGCTCAGCGCCTCGGCTCACCGGTGCTTTATTACATTACGGTCAGTGACACCCTGCCTAATCTTTCCTCCCTCTTAAGAGAGAGAGAGAGCAATCTCTGAGGGTGTTATCTGCTTCTCTATCAGTGCTAACCATGAACTTGGTTCAGCTGTGTGTGAACTAGCAGCTCAGAGTTCAGGGAAACTCTGTTATTAATCTGTAACAGCGGAGACGTGTTAGTTGATTTGGTGTCGGAGGTCAAAGCAGGAATTTGGTTGTTGGTAAACATCCTGATAGTACCGTGACTTCAACAGAGCGGAGGAAGCAGTGTGTTAAACTAGTTAGAGGAAGCCTCTGTCTTCGCCATGGTGTTATCTAACAAACGTCTGAGGTCTGTTACAGAACAGCTGCAGTTAAAACAAGAGTGTGTGAAAACAAAAACATACAAAATTTAGTGATTGTTGGACCTCTGAGGACGACTGGTTTTGGCTGAAGGTTGGTACCTACAAATGCAGACAAACACTGAAGCATTTTAAACAACAAAACCTATCATGAGAAGAAGCCTTTAATATCAGTCGCAATCAATGGTTATTGAATAATAGATAGATACATATATATAAAAATAGAAATTAAACTTTAATGATGTCAGAGAGAAAATCTTAGAGAAATTAACTCTCTGCATTTAACAATCCATTGTGTGACATTGTGCTCCGCCAAGGGAGCAGTGTGGAGGGTTAAGGGTCTTTCTCAGCTATCCAGAGTGGCAGTCTGTGGTGATCAAACCGGATACTTGCAACCTTCTCAGAACACAAGCCCACTGCTCTAACCACTATTTTCTTTTTACCCATTTGCAACGAGGATCAAGTGGGGGAAAAAGTTGCACTAACTTAAACCCGATAAGAGTTCATTTTAAGCTTTCAAATTAGGTCAGCTCTACTACTAATCTTGTTAATTTTAACTGTGAAAGAGGTTAAATTCTTTCCTCTTCCTACATATTTCTATTATTTTTTTTTTTATCTGACATATTTTCTATTAATATTAACAGGGATTAAAGTACTCTGGCCCCAGGCCCGATTTCAGGCTCATAGCGATTGCCTGTGGGTAAAAAAAAAAAAAATCACTGGAAAATATTGATGGTAAATATATTTTAAAAAGACAATCGAAATCCCTCCTGCGTTTGTCAGCCAATGGTAGCAAAAGAGCGCTCTAAAACAGCATTAGCCAAACAGAAGAATGGGGCAGGTGCTGTTCCTGCAGATTCAGTCCATTTGTTTTACTCTTTTTATTTTTTTCTTCCAATACTCATGACACCTGAGCTGCTTCGATGAGCTTAGATGTGGAAAACAGCAGATACCAGGCTGTTTCTCACATCCAGTCTGCTCTTCTGCGTGGTTTTGAGTGGAGCACAGCTGAAGGTGAACTCAATCATAAAAGAAAAACTTACTTTTCGATTGTAAAGGGCTTGTTTTATTTTTTAGCTGGGTCCTCACAAAGTACTACAGATCCAAGCCCTGTTTTATTTTATCACCTGAGAAATAAAATATTTCATGCACCCCTTGAAATACACGAACAGACAACTAGGGATCTGATTAAAAAAAAACGAGTGAAGTCATTTTATTAAGTTTGAATTGAATAATAATTAAATAATTTAATTAAAATAATAATTAATTGATGTTTTTAATGTACTTTTATTTAATAATGTTACATTGAATTATTTAATTGTGTATTTTATATTGTTTATTTAATATTTAAATCATGCAGTAAACTAAATAAATGTTGCATTCACTTATTTCATTGGACATGCATGTTTATGTCCCCCCACGTGGTGTCTCACAGCTCCCCGCACTGCAAAATAATTTAAATCTACACTTATTTAAACAAATGTTTACCTCCTTTTAGACTCTTTTTGCAGTGCAGGGAGTACTGGCCCGTACTGGGGCTGGCTTAGAGCACCCTGGAAGAATAAACTGCTGTTTTCCAGTCAGGAAGGNTTTACACCCCTACTTCCTACATATTTCTATTTTTTTTTTTTTTATCTGACATATTTTCTATTAATATTAACAGGGATTAAAGTACTCTGGCCCCAGGCCCGATTTCAGGCTCATAGCGATTGCCTGTGGGTAAAAAAAAAAAAATCACTGGAAAATAAATTGATGGTAAATATATTTTAAAAAGACAATCGAAATCCCTCCTGCGTTTGTCAGCCAATGGTAGCAAAAGAGCGCTCTAAAACAGCATTAGCCAAACAGAAGAATGGGGCAGGTGCTGTTCCTGCAGATTCAGTCCATTTGTTTTACTCTTTTTATTTTTTTCTTCCAATACTCATGACACCTGAGCTGCTTCGATGAGCTTAGATGTGGAAAACAGCAGATACCAGGCTGTTTCTCACATCCAGTCTGCTCTTCTGCGTGGTTTTGAGTGGAGCACAGCTGAAGGTGAACTCAATCATAAAAGAAAAACTTACTTTTCGATTGTAAAGGGCTTGTTTTATTTTTTAGCTGGGTCCTCACAAAGTACTACAGATCCAAGCCCTGTTTTATTTTATCACCTGAGAAATAAAATATTTCATGCACCCCTTGAAATACACGAACAGACAACTAGGGATCTGATTAAAAAAAAACGAGTGAAGTCATTTTATTAAGTTTGAATTGAATAATAATTAAATAATTTAATTAAAATAATAATTAATTGATGTTTTTAATGTACTTTTATTTAATAATGTTACATTGAATTATTTAATTGTGTATTTTATATTGTTTATTTAATATTTAAATCATGCAGTAAACTAAATAAATGTTGCATTCACTTATTTCATTGGACATGCATGTTTATGTCCCCCCACGTGGTGTCTCACAGCTCCCCGCACTGCAAAATAATTTAAATCTACACTTATTTAAACAAATGTTTACCTCCTTTTAGACTCTTTTTGCAGTGCAGGGAGTACTGGCCCGTACTGGGGCTGGCTTAGAGCACCCTGGAAGAATAAACTGCTGTTTTCCAGTCAGGAAGGAATAAAGAATATAATTATTTTTCACCTAAAAAAATTATGATTGTTTTCTGTAATTTGGGCACATTTTTTTTCATGCTCTCTCCACTTTTTCAGAATCCACCGAAGTGGCAGAAGAGACGCACTTTACAAGGAAAACCTCCTCTTGAGAGGCTGCACCGTCCGCAACACGGAGGAAGCTGTGGGAATAGTCATTTATGCTGGTCAGCTTCCACAGAGTGGCTGTTGTACTGAGTCACACTTCATTTAAGACCTGTGACCAACACGCCTCGTATCTCTGCAGGTCATGAGACCAAAGCCATGCTGAACAACAACGGCCCGCGATACAAGCGCAGCAAGCTGGAGAGGCAGATGAATGTGGACGTGTTCTGGTGTGTCATCATCCTGCTGGTGATGTGCCTGTTTGCTGCTGTTGGTATGTGATCAATTATACTCTGAGTTGCTTAACACCAATTTATTTCATGCAGTGAAAGGAAAAAAAACATTTGCCCTACCACAGATGGTTCAACTTTAAAAAGGTTTTGTCACATTTCAATGATAAAATCATAAATAATTTTATAATGGAAAAAATGGTTTGGTTTAGTTTAGTTCAATAATTCACCTTCAACTCTTTCACGTTATTAATCAAAATTTACTGCTTAAATGAAATGTAGAACACAAAAAAATGTGATCGTGATCCTTTCACACCTTTTTGATTTAGTCAGCGTATGCCCGACGTCCCAGAATCTCCTAAAACGCCGGCATATGCTGAACTTTCTATGTATTTTATTTTTATTTTGGGCGTATACATAGTGTACCCAAATTAAGTCCAGAACTTATGTCCAACGAAAGCCTAACGAAGCATCACTTAAAGCTGCTCCCCTCAGACGCATCGCTGCTGCTGAGGGGAGCCTGCATAAAAAGATGTATTTGATCGCAGTATTAACCTAGCGGCTGTTTACCACCGCGCTCAAAAATAGAATAAATGAAAAGAAAAAGAAACAAAGAAGGTTTGCAGTCGCAGCAGATTCAGCATCATGTCTGCCAGGAAATTTGATGGTCACGGCTGTGAATGTGAACGCAGGGAGGATCCATCACGCTCACCTTCACGCTCACCCTATGATGGGGATGAAGTATGGAGGAGACGGTTTCCTCATGTGAACCCGTTTTATACTAAATCTATTGGATTTTTAGGTTTTTGGAAGGCAAATTAAGACTAACCTTGCTTTGCTTTTTCTGGTCATCGGGGCTTCTCATCTTCGACATTTCATATGGGCAATTTTTGCCCTTGTCTCATTTTTATTGTTAACTCACTCTGATCTTAAATTAAGATACATGTGGCCTACAGTGCTGTAGATGTAATTGGTTCTTTTGTCGCCTCTTGACTGAGTCATCATGACGCTTCTGAATCACTTTTGTTCGGCTGATCTCTTCAAAGAAGGTTCCTTGCTGTTTCCTCATTTGTGTCTCTCACTGCAGTAAACATCTTTCCCAAACTTTAAACATTAATGTGAAGCCTTTTCCAGATTGGAAGATGTTATTTAAAGGTATAGAGGAGGATTTATGCAAATTTATGAAAAGACTTGCCCTCTTCACTTAAAAAAAAAAAAGCGCTTGAACAACCCTGTATCAGCTCCCGAGTGGGAACCCCTGTTAAATGCATGCAACATAATGCATGAGCCATTTCTCCTCGTGCGCGCTCTGTTTAAAAATAGCTGTTTGCATCGTTCATACAAGCTTACTTTCCAATACAAGATTTGCAATTATTCCATTATGTCATACTCACCAAGCTGATTGCATCAAATCATTGACTTGCAGGCAATCCCTCACACTAAGCATGCTTGTAGCGACAGTGGAGAGGAAAAACTCCCTTTAACAGGAAGCAAACTCCAGCAGAACCAGGCTCAGTATGAGCGTCCATCTGCCGAGGGTGACAAGGGTTCAATGACACAGAAGCAGAGATACAGAAAGAAGCAGAAATATAAAATGTAGCTGTTAAATAGCTACAGAGGTTTTCCTGTCCAGGAAAGATACAAGCTAATCTCAAACATCTATAAACAAAGGTATTGATGGCAGCATCACAGATGATATTTCTCTCTAGGATAGTGTCACAGCCAAACAGGAACAGACCAGATCAAGCTGCTATGATTAGAAAAAGCAGAGAAAGCATAAAGTTAAATATTGCAGCACAAGAGAATAGAGACAGAATGATAAAAAGTTGTCCCTATGTCCTCCAGCAGTCTAAGCCTATAGCAATGTAACTACAGAGATGACTAAGAATAACCTGAGCCACTGTAACTATAAGCTTTATCAAAAAAGAAAATTTTAAGCCTTGCCTTAAAAGTAGACAGCCTGTCTGCCTCACGGACTAAAACTGGTAGTTGGTTCCACAGGAGAGGAACCTGACAATTAAAATATCAACCTCCCATTCTACTTTTAGAAATTTGAGGGAACACAAGTAAACCTGCAGATTGAGAGTGAAGTGCTCTGTTAGGAGCATACTGTACAATCAGATATCTGATATAAGATGGAGCTTGGCCATTTAAGGCTTTATATGTGTGAAGGATTATGAATTTTATTCTGGATTAAGGTGGAAAGCAATGAAGAGAAGCTAGGACATGTTCTCTTTTTAAATTCTATCAGACTCCCCAGACCATCACTGACCCACCACTAAACCGGTCATGCTGAACGATGTTACAGGCAGCATAACGTTCTCCACTGCTTCTCCAGAATTCCGGTGTTCTGAGGCAAACGCCAATCGATCTCCACGGTGCCGGGCAGTGAGCACAGGGCCCACTAGAGGACGTCGGGCCCTCAGGCCACCCTAATGAAGTCCGTTTCTGATTGTTTGGTCAGAGACATTCACACCAGCGGCCTGCTGGAGGTCATTTTGTAGGGCTCTGGCAGTGCTCCTCCTGCTCCTCCTTGCACAAAGGAGCAGATACCGGTCCTGCTGATGGGTTGTAGACCTTCTACGGCCCTGTCCAGCTCTCCTTGAGTAACTGCCCGTCTCCTGGAATCTCCTCCATGCTCTTGAGATTGTGCTGGGAGACACAGCAAACCTTTGTTCCTAAAACATCACCCAGTCCATATCAGCTACTGGATAGCTCGGTAGGTAACACTGTCGACTCCGGCACAGGTGAGGGGTTCGATTCCCGGCATGGACATCCAGGTGGACCCTTAGGCAAGGTCCTTTGTGCTTAGTGGCCCACCTCAGGCATGAGTGAAACCGCAAATACAAGAGCCATACTGGCTCGGACGTCGCCCGGGTTAACAAGGTCCGCGTCAGTTGCTAGGGAACCAGGGCAAGTTGATGACAAATTGGCTACTGGAACAAGACATAGATGGACTAGGTCTCTGTCCAGAAGGCGCAGTCCTAGGAACAGCTAAGATACTGCGCAGGACCCTCAAACTCCCAGGCCTCTGGTAGAGGACCCGAGCTTGAGGATGACACATACCACCCCACAAGGGGTGAGAAAACAGTTTTGTTTTTATATATATATATATATATATATATATATAATATATATTTTATTTGTTAAACACTAAACTTATTTATTTTTGGACATGTTTTGAATTATGGTAGGCTTTGGCCTATCTTTAGAGCCAGAAAATTTTGAATAGCTTTTTACACTTAAAAATGAAGTTATCATATTTAAAACTACATTTTATATTTTCAAAGATTCTCTGTTGTGTGTTTGAGTTGAAAGTGACAAAACACCTTAAAGAGAAGAAATCTGTGAGAGGGCAAATCTCCCAACTCCTTTTGAAATCATTCTCGTTTGTTCCTTTTTTTTTTTAGATCTTTTTATTTGTATCCTCTCTGTTTGCTGACCTCTCCGGTTGCTGTTCCAGGTCATGGGCTGTGGATGTTTCAGTACGGAGATAAGAGACCTGTGTTTGACGTTCTTAGTCCTGAAGGGACAGACTTATCACCCATCATGTCAGCCATTTATCTCTTCCTCACTATGATCATCGTCTTTCAGGTACGAAACCAGGAGAAGGGGAGAAAAACAAAGTCTAAGTGAAACTCAGATAACCTGCAGAGACCAACCATATCAGTATTTATAAAATGTTCTCTTCCACTGCACACAGGCAGTGCTTTAACTCAGCTAGTTAAAATTATTGCAGCTGCTGTGCTTGATACCTCTAAAATCCTTATTTTCACCTAAAACCTCACCAAGCTGTTTGATTTTATGCCTCACAAAGCCTCAGCAGTATGAGATCATGTCATAAAAAGTAGCATTGAGACCTATTGATCTGTTGGCTTGTAACTTGGATCCATGTTGAAAATGTCATCCTGCTCCGTGTCAAAAACACAGCAGCTCGGTTTTGATCTAATGTTGATTTAGAAATGAATGAGAAGCCAGAGTGGAAAGCAATGTGGCTTAACTGTACAAACAGCAGTCGCATTGCCAGGCAGCTCTGTTGAAACTCTCTGAAGTAAACACTGTTTCGGGGGCATGGAGAATGTGAGCAGAGCTAACTGCCCTCTCAGATGTTATGACTCATTCTTTGGAACTTCCAAAAAAAAAATTCAATGGAAATGTCAATTCATAGTTCACCCCAAACATTTCCATAAAAAAATGTAGTGAAAGCAAATCAAAAGTTTATATTTGGCCTCCGCCTACCAGGCTTTCTGTGACTGAGTTTTAGGGCCAGGCTAGAGATTTTTTTATTTCGAGAATAAAGTAATAATATTGCGAGAATAAAGTCGGATTATTACGAGAAAAAAGTTGAAAATAACGGGAATGAAGTCATCATACCACAACCCGTTTCAGAAAGAAAGCTTCGCGCTCCGACCAGCATGTGACGTCCGACCCGCGCCACCAACCAGCAACCTGAGTCCACTTTGACATTCTGCCCAATGTGATGCTGGTGTTCATCAATTCCTTTTTTGTCAAACCAGAGCCAAAGTATAAGTTCACATGATGCTCGACATTCCTCATTTTAGTGAAGACGGTGCTTCCTGTAAAAATGGTCTTAAAATAAAACTTTATTCTGATAATATCACAACTTTATTCTCATAATTTAACGACTTTATGCTGGTATTGTTACGACTTTATTCTCTTAATTTTACGACTTTATTCTTGTAATTTTATGACTATTCTCGTTGCGACTTTAGTTTTGGGAAAAAAATAATCTTTAGCCTGGCCCTAATACTCCGTCGTAGGCCTTCAAACACATATGATGGCCATAAAAAAATGGTACAGGTACACTGGAAACTTTCTCAAAGATGTTGGTCCAGGTTTAATGGACATTATCACAGTTCTGCAGATTTCTGAGCAGCACGTCCATGAGCCACTTTGGGCTTAAAGTTCATACTAAGGGGATCAAAATGGGCCAATAAAGAAAACCCCCAAAACTTGCATGAGCCACTGATTTAAGGCCAGATGGATCTTTTATAGGCCACCATCTTGATGTCACAGTAAATGGGCACTCATTAGCCCACGCAACATTTTTAAAGGTATGGCGCATTTAGAGCAGGTATTCTGCGTTCTTTGCTTGTGGCAAGAGGGCGCCTTTCTCTCACCTCCAAGTAGCCCATTATTAACATTTTTTTAACCACACTAATGCTGTTGACTAGATGCTTTTTGTTATTTTTTTAGACCTCAGTCTGTAATTTAATAGAGTAGTACAGACATGAGTTTAACATGACATGTGCATTGGAGACAAAGGATCTAAATTTACAAAAGGACTCCAGCGCACTGTCCAACTTGCATTAAAAGGCATTTATTTACAATGTTTTGTGTTCACATAAGGAAAGGAGATTGGTTGTGGGGAAACAACCACTTCCTATTTAAGAGGGCTTCTCACAAACTAGTAATGTTTGCCTGATGAACGTCTAGTACCGAAAAGTTGGACAGAGTCCTTTTGTACATTTTGACCCCTCTGCAATAAAGCTAAACACAGTACTAAACCTGCTCTTTAAAGGGTTATTGATAATCTGCCTTTAGCAAGTGAGACTGGTGTCTATGTTAACCTTGTTTTTTAGATGTAACTCTCTTATTTAAAATAGCTTGTTGGTGCTAGGGCTGTTATATTGGAGTAACTTCAATCCAATGCTTAATGTAATTTTCCTTTGGGATAGAAAAAGTATTTTTGAATTTGAATTGAATGTTGAATCCCTCAGGGTTTAGTTGTTGGTCCCTTTCTTTTTCTCCTTGCGAGTTCTATCCTTTGGCTCTATTAACATGAAATAAAGTTTTTTTTTTTCCATTTTTGTTAGATGGCTAACAGACTTTTGTTGTTTTTAAAGGTCAACAGTTTCTCAGTTTATTCAGTGTTTAATGTCATTCTGAAAATAAAACCCTGGATGGCTTAAGAATTTTAAAGAAATTATTGAGCTACCATCACTATATCTGGGAGTCAGTTTCAGATCTTAAACTTTGAAACCAGATGAAGAAATTTGGTTTATCATTATTATTTTTTTTATTTAATGTTCTTTGCCTGACCTTTGACTTTCTTACGCCTAAGTTAGATTACTGTAACCCGGTAAATTGGGGTTATTGATGCTTCACTAGATGCCTGCAATTGTTTTTAACTTGGCACAGATTATGTCTAAGTTCAGCACCCTTATTTTAAATTCAATCCAATTACCACCTATATTTGATGTGCCTTTTATAAAAATATACTTATATCTACTTGTCTGTTTTTTTGTTGTTGTTGTTTTTTTGTTTTTAGAATTATTTTCTTCTATTATTTTTTTTGTTTTACAAAAAATCAAAATCAATATTATATTTTATTAAATCATAATTCAGTATTGTTTTATTTATTATTACCTTTTTCAGTTTGTGTTGCTTGATATGATTACAGTTCTTATGTGCAAATTGGATCTTAAAGAGTCACATATTTTTCTTGGATGTTATTACCAGATTCCTTTCATAATTCAGAGGTATCCCAGGGCAGCCTTACTGCTGTATTCACTGACACTTGGTATCTTCTTAAAAAACAGCACTTTGCCTCATTTTAAATTATATTCTTTTGAAGCTAAGATCCCTATTCTTAAACTGCTCATCTTTATGGCTCATTGGTCTTATTAGCTCCACTTTATCACTAAATTGCTTCATATTTACCTTTTAGATAGCATTGTTGATGCAGAAAATTCCCGAGTATCTATTTGCACCATGGTTTTATTACCATGCTCCCCTAAGTTTTCCAAAAGAGCCATCTGTATATCCTAACCTAACATGTTGGATGAGGATAAAAGCACAGCTAATATAATATTGGTATGCACATGTCTAAAATAATGCAATAATTATTTAGCTTCTCATAAACTTCAGAAGCACCAAAATGCAAAGCTCTTAGATTACCTGTTAGCATGAATTATTTTCTTTGTTAAATTACTTTTGCATAGGGGCGAGGACCAGACAAATTCATCCATCCATTTTCCATCGCGCTTATCCCAACCATTGATGCACACACCTAAGGAGAATTTAGAAAAGCCAATTAACCTAACAGTCATGTTTTTGGACTGTGGGAGGAAGCAGGATTACCCAAAGAGAACCCACGCACACTCAGGGAGAACATGCAAAGTCCATGCAAAAAGACCCCAGGGCAGAAATTGAACTCAGAACTTCTTGCTGCAGATATAGTCAGTGCTACTCACTGCGCCACTGAGCAGCCCCCAATTCTAATTAATCTCTGTAATACTCTTTCCTCCCCCAGGTGCTGATACCCATCTCACTGTTTGTGTCGATTGAGATTGTGAAGATCTGCCAAGTGTACTTCATGCATCAGGACATGGATCTGTACGACGAGGAGACAGACTCTCAGCTGCAGTGCAGGGCACTTAATATCACAGAGGATCTGGGCCAGATGCAATACATCTTCTCCGACAAGACAGGGACGCTGACGGAAAACAAGATGGTGTTCCGACGGTGCACTGTGGCTGGGGTGGAGTACTCCCATGATGCCAATGGTGAGTCACATAGACACGCACAGCATAAAGAAAAGATGTTTTTTTTTTTTTTTTTTAAGTGCCTCCTTATGGTGTGTTTTCCTTTATGCAGCAAGAAGAATTGCCATGTATCAGGAAATTGATTCTGAGGAGGAGGAATGTTTGTCCCACGGAGGCACCCTGCCCAGACGGGACAGCGTCGGCAGCCATCACAGCGGGCGCGTAGTGCTGCGCTCACACAGCACCAAGTCCCACCGCAGGACCGGCAGCAGGGCGGAGGCCAAGCGCGCCAGCATCCTCTCTAAGCACACCGCCTTCAGCAGCCCCATGGTCAGCAAACCTCTCTGCCCCAACGTCCATCACTGTCCCCTCTGCTCCCCACTAATGAACCGCCTTCTCCATCCCACAGGAGAAAGATATCACCCCTGACCCTCAGCTTTTGGACAAAGTCAATGAATGCAGCAGTCAGATGGACTTCATGCGCTTCCACCGCCAGCCCATGTCCCAGCTGCCCTCTGACCTCTCTGACATCATCGATTTCTTTATTGCTCTTACTATCTGTAACACGGTGGTGGTGTCCTCACCCAATCAGCCCAGGCATAAGGTAAGGCTCATCAGCTCCCACAGGTCAGATGGAAGTGATGCATTTGTGGCACATTGGAGAAGGATGCTTCTGTTAATTGGGAGGATGCTGTTCTGCTCAGCTTTTTAATCGCAACATTTAAGAGAGGCTTTTAACTATTTTCCTTTATATTTACATTTTGTTTTAGATAACGGCAATGGTTGATAAAGGAGAAAGATGAAGCAGGAAAAAAGTAGTTCATGCATGTTTAAGCATTATCTGAATTCTAGGGGAAAAACTCATCATCCATATATCCTTTTCATCCTCCAGTAGCCCCTCTATTTCTGTGTTTCTGTTATGTTTTCAGTTGTCAAGTTAGTTTAAGTCGGTGGGTTGAATTTCATTTGAAATTCACTGGAACTATTTCCTGTCTGGCGTCAGACTCCTTCCTGTTTGGCTTGATGCAGAGGCTACTGCTAACATGAGGGTACACGCTGATTTGAATGATTTGGGTTCCTTTTAAGGGCTGCGTTATGGAAGCTTTCTCAAGGGTGAGCATAGAGTAGAGCATGTAGGCGGAGCAGAAGAAATATGGTGGAGCGCAGAGCGGTTTTAAATTCAAAGGCCGGTGCGAGGATTGCCTATTGTGGGATAAAATATAAGAACATAGACTAACTATACTTAACAATACAGAGTGAATTTACATGAAGTGATCATTGTGGTAAGAGCTGTTTTTTACATGCATTATACGCTATTATCTCATTTGCAATGGGATGCGAAGTGACCTTTTTTAATATAGTTTTGTAACTTAAAATTAATAATTAAATAGGAAATGTAGGGCAACATGAATGGAGCGAGCTGTTACGTTCACAGCTTGGAAACAGAGCGATGATTTAAAAGCCAGTTAGATAAGACAATACACATGTATCGGTCACATCATTAAATCAAATGACGTGTGTCCAATGGCCCAGACATAATTACATGAAGGAAAAATGTCAGAAAATGCCTTCTCCTGAAAATTTGAGCGGGCATGGAGCGATTTCACCAGAGCGGCAGGAAAATTAAGGGGAGTGCAGAGTGGATTTTGAGCGAAGCGTCCTGGCGCAACTTTGAGGGCGAATGAGCAAACATCCTCCTGAGCGGGGAGTGGGAATTGCGGCGCTTTGTTTACATGCTCTGGCATAGGGCAGAGAGAGTGAAATTCTGACTATATCTGACCAAGCAAAAATATACACAGTAATGTAATTACAGATGTATTTCTAAAATGTCTAAATTAAAAAAAAACTATTTTTTTCTTTGGGTGAATACAGCTGTATAGCTGAAAGGTGCTTTTAGTTACTTAGGGCCCTGTCACACCTTGCCGTTTTAGCCAGCGTTTGCCCGACGTCCCAGAATCTTCTAAAATGTTGGCAAACGCTGAACTTTCTATGTATGTTTTCAAGTTTGGGTGTATACGTAGCGCATTCATAAAGAGTCCAGAACTTATGTCCCACGATAGCCTAACTTATCCAACAAATTTTGCAATTAATCGTTCAGCAAAACAAATTTTGCTGAACGATTGTCTCAAAAATTATTGCGATAAACAATAATATTGTTTGAAAACCTTTTTACACTGATTTAATGGAAATGACGTAATAATGCATGCAAAAGATAAACACACTTTATTTTCAACAGAACACTTAACACTGGAACTGGTTAACAAAATAAAAAGAGAAATAAGAATCAAATGGACTCTCAGTCTCTGTTAACTAAAAATACACTTGAATAATAACTAAACACAAGATAAAACCACAGTGAATATAAAAAAACTACATTCAACCAAAATAGTACAGATAATGAAGTCTGCATATCATTAGAAATTTAAAAAAGATAGGCAAAACTGCCATTTTATAAATAAAAAAATGCAAAGTAACAAAAGCAGATTCTTAAATAAGACCAGATGCCTCAACAATCTTTAAGCAGATCTGTAGCTGCTTTAGTCAGACAGATTCAGAGCAAGAAATACCAACATGTTAAGTTTGTGTGGCCTGTATCTCCTTCAGTATGTCCTCTTTAATACTGCTGTACAGTTGTGGAATTCCTGTTAGTGATATGTATGTTTTCCTGGGGAGTTCATACTGTCTATCAAATGTCTGCAACATTTTTCGAAATGCCGGCTTTTCAACAGTGTTAAATGGAAGCATCTCTTTAGCCATTAAATGAACTACGCTGTCTGTGAGAGCGCGCCACTTTGCGGCGTCCTTTTTGCACGCTGCCTGTCGATTAATTGCTACAGTGATGGTGGACTGTCACAAACTTCAAGACGCAGGCGGGCCACCGCTTGTACTTTTTGTCCCCAGCTGGAGAAACTTTGCTGAGTGGTTGTGCTTTAGGTGCATGTGTAGGTTGGTTGGTTGTGTTGCTGCTCTTAGTTGCTACTGTTTTATGACAAATGCGACATACTGGCTTACATAGGTACAGCAGTTCGCCTCGGACATTTGGTTTGAATCCGAAATACTCCCACACTGCGGCTGTTGCGTTCGGCTTTGAAACCAGTTCCATAGCATCGGGGTTAAGCCTTTTCATCCAGCGTCATCAATGGAAAGAGAAAAACACAGGTAGAGACGATATAGCCGATAAATTAAATGACGTGTATATTATTTTTATTTATCGTATGATTATTTGATTTATTGATTATCGCGACAGCCCTACTTATGCATAACACACGGCAACGTAAATTATGCACAAGCGTCATTTCATGGTCATTACAAAGCACCAGTTAGAGCAGCTGCGCCTGAAGGGAGCTGCTATGCACTCGGAGGTGCCCGCGATAGATGTCTTTTATCACGGTATTAACCTAGCTGCTGTTCACCGCCTGCTCAAAAAAACAAAGAATAAATAAAAAGAAAAGGAATGAACGCAGGGAGGATCCATCACACTCACCATCTCACTCACCTTATGATGGGGATGAATTTCGGAGGAGAACCGGCCGGTTTCGTCCTGTGAACCCCCTTTTATACCAAAATGCTGCCAATACACCATTATACAGTAGCTACAAGTTAGAAAGATGTTCAGCGGTCATCTTGAACAGGTCAAATATGTTGATATGCGTTGGAGATAAGTTACGCTTAAGTTAGGCACAAGTTACTCATAGGACGCCACGGCTTATGAGTAACTTACACTTAACGTATGTTAACGATCAGATAGCTTACCTGTAACTTATGACCCACTTATGGCATTCGTTGGCATATGTCGAGAAATTTTGAGCATGTTTAATTTACAATTGCCATGCCCCAATTTAAAACATTTTATGCATTATTAAGCAACACAAACAAGTTTGAACAAAAATACGAAGGAGTGTACTAAAGGACATTGTGTACATTCCCCTTTTAATTAAAACTAATCAAATACGCAAGCTTTCTGCCTCAGTAACAGTGGTATGTTTCATAATACTTGATGCTAAAGGAAGCTTGTTCGTTTCAAGAAAAAATATTATTGTTACTAAATAGCTAGTTAAGCTGCGCTATCATATTAGCTGCATTCCTTCCTCTGGCCGCCGCTGTCAGAACGGAGGGAGGACAGCCTGCTTTCTCCAAGCTCTTGCCTTCTGCTTCTTGCAGCAGCTGAGGTATTCACATTTATTTAATAGGGCAGCAGTGCGCACATTGTTCCTTGTCTGAGAGGGCCAAACACTGTAGAGCTACAGCGGTAGGTACAGCTGCAGCTTCTCACAACTGGTGCGCTTTGATGAAATAAAGACATATAAAAAGTCCCATTTCATCAGGTCTTCTTTTTATTGGCTGACGCCTGATTCAGTAATTGGGATTGGTCTTTTACACAGAAAAAAATTGATTCAAACAATAACTATATGCAGAAATGAGAGGAAACATATTAATAAAGGTTACAATGTCTCAGTCATCCATCACGAAATTCAGCTCAAGTTTCATTTTCCTCAAAGCATCCAAAGTAGAGCCAAATGTCTGTTTGCACGTACCTCTCACTGCGTCTTTGATGTGCAGAGTCTGTATCCGAGTTTTGTTTTCCTCCTGTGTGAGCTTGGGTGTGGTTGTCCTGTTCCGAGGTGATATCCTCCCCACACCTCACTCCACATGCAGCAGCTCCCCCCTCCCATCCCACACCCCCTGTCCTCCAGAGCGATGGAGCCGCTGCGATTAAACTGTGCAAAGTGACCGATTATTCATGTGGGACTGTTTGTCCTTCAAGGTTATCGCTTTAGATGAAGGAAAAGAATAAAACCTGCACAAAATCCCCAGCTTTGATACGGCCTTCTTCCAGTTTTTACTTCCACTTGTTTTTATTGTTTTGATTTGTTGATCCCTGTGCAGTTGTTCACATTTTATGATGCCCTTGCTGCTAACCCAGCTATCGAAAGATTTATTCTTTTGTGTTTGTGAGAGCCGTGGCTCCTGCTGTCAAGAGTCCGAGGAATGAGTCACCCTCTTTGTTATTGTACGCCCTGCGGCATCACCCCGAAATGAAGGACCAGCTGAATCATTTTAGCCAGAGGCGGCCCTTTTTTACCAGTGCAGCAATGTCTGGTGAATATTATTACTAAACATTACTTAAGGTGAAATTAGAAGTTAAATCCAAGATTGAGTTAAACTGTAATACAGTTTAAATTTAATAGGAATCTATTGAATTACTGATTTATTTTAATAAAATACTTAAAAACCCTAGTTGTTAACTTGCTCTGTATCAAGAAGCAGGCTGATGGGTATCAAGTTCAAAGTTTTTCTCTGGCCGTATTGGGAAAAGAGTAGTTGAACTTCAGTCTATTGTTACCCACTGCTGCTCAGCTGGCTGAAAAAAGTTCCTGAACTTGCCTCTTGCTTGCAAAAAAGATGAATATGGATGTTTGGACGTACGTTCAGTCATGAGAAATATGGATGAAGATGATGGAGAAACTAAAAACTTTTTAAATTTTTTAAAATTGCAGTTGGCAAACCACAGGTGCCATTATGTCTGTGAGCAGCTGACTGTAACGTAGCACTGATTAAATGCTAGTTTCACCTTGTTTAACTAGCCTGTTGTGCTACAAACAT